TACCCACATGCATTTTTTATATATTTTTCATATATACATATATATAATATATATAGATATATAAAATATATGAACAATCGATGTGGGTACTCAAATGAAAGGTCTCCTTGAGTATAACATCAAAATGAGCTTATATCTTTAAAAATGTCAAGAGTTCTCAAAATACAAGGTCATTTCTTAATTATGCACCTAGAAATAATTTTCTCTATTTGAAAAAAAAAAAAAATCCAACCGGTTCCTCGGTATTTGCAATTAAACCCTGGTTATCAAGCTTTCAATTAGTATTGTATGCATAAAACCATAACTTACCATGACAAAAACTCCCGCTGAAATAAGTACTTTCACTGAAGATAATCAACTATAAAAATTGAAGAACTTGCGCACGTGATCTAATCTAAAAAAAAAAAAACAATAATTAGATGATTAAAATAGATACGCTACTAGATATTCCAAAAAATGTATTGCAAGATTGCAATACCCGAAAACATACCTTAGATCAAAGCAGATTATCCAAGTGAGTCGTCTGGTCCGTGAAGCTCGCTATAAAACGGAGTGCTCGCCGACGTAATTACCTCGGTGGTAACCGGTCACCTCGTGTCCGTTAATTCTTGTTTTGTTTTTATCTTTTAAGAGCCATAAGACCGAATGGAGCTGAGTCGGCGAGATTGGAGGCAACCATAACCATCTCAGTTCAGCACCAGCCCATAACTCCGAGTGTAAATCGAGTGGCCATTAACGGACAGGCGATTATTCATGTTAGCTGTGAGCTGTAATGAGAAACGAGATGCAGTATTATTTTCTAACCTTTTATTTAATTTATGCAATTTATGCTAGTTGATTATTTTTTGGCCTTTTGCCAGTTTTTCCAAGAAGGTATTGTTGTTTTTACGGCGACATTTGGCACCTCAACCTCAACTTTATTTAGAGGTTTTTTAACGATCTAAAAGCTTCGGAGCTGTAAAACTAAGGATTTTTCGGACGATGGATGGGTTTTTTGCCGGCCGGCGTGAATTACTAAGTAAAGGGACGGATATTTGTATAGCCGAAGAGGCCACCACGGATAACCAACCGGGCTAATGCTCCACTATTATCGGCACCTGCTGTAATAATGAAGCAATTTTGCAATTATCCAAACACTCTTCGGTGTAATTGAGGAAATGCGGTGAATAATTACTGGACCAGCATCCCAAGACCCCTCAGTTCACGATTTTTCAGGTTTTATCTGAGATTTTTGCGTGTACCAACGAGTTATTTGCTTTGATTTTGAGGAAATTTAGAATTACTTTGGTTTTTTATGATTTTTTTAGGGAAATAAATTTTTTTGGTTATAATCAATGGTTGTATCTTAAAGTAGACATGTTAACGAATAAAATGAGCTATAACAAAAGTATTTTTGATCACAGGAACTATCAAAAGATCGGTATTAAAGATTAAAAAATGTTATTTTTGTCAAAATGTGATGTTTTTCGAAGGTAACTTTAGTTTTTTGGGGAAAAAAATTTTTCTGATAAAAATTAATGGATGTACCTTAATGTAGGCATTTCAACGAAAGAAATAACCTGTAACAACTTTAATTTTCTCTAAGGAAACTATCAAAAGATCTTAATTAAAGTTCCACCTTTCCAGAAAACTAGCGACAAAATCTAATCTATTACCAAATACTGACAAGTCTCTAGTTAAAACATCAAAACGTCCCGTATAATCCAATTTCCTCAGTCACGGATGTCACCAATTTCCTCCGAAATTAAAAGTCGGTTTTTCATATCGTAACCCGACTTTCGACAGGTGTTTGTCCCCGAAAATTCCGTTCAGGTCTTTTCCTCTAAAAACAAAACCTAAAAAACTTGTAAAGTAGCCAAACAAAAAAAGTTTCAAAGATAAATTATACTTGTAGGTCGTTTTATTTGTTGTTCGCACATGTAACCTCATATCTCGAGCTAGTCTAACCGATCAATTTGCTATGCTGTTCTCGGGTTAGTAGTTTGTATAGGAGCAAACAAAGCATAGCGTTGGTAAGAAAAACCCAAAGCAATTTTATCGACAGCAATTTCGTCTAAACATCATTCACTCTAGCAGCTGCTCGGTATTCACTCTTCACTCTTTCGATGCGATATTAACTAAAGTATCTTCTATAAAATAAAAACAAACAAAAAATTGTTTTTTCTTTTTTAAATTTAAACCATAAAAATTAAGAATAAAATTTTTTTTAAAGCAAATTCTAAAAAATCAAACAGTAAAAATTTTAAGGTGCTTTTTTTGAGAGGATAAATATTTAATATCAACCCCGATTAATGATTTATGAAGATCTGAGATCGGATTTTCCACCCTTGTAGATCCGCAAGTATTTTGATGATAAAATCGCGGAATCCGACTGGCCGATGACACCCGTAGAGATAGTCCTGGAGGATCCAATTGGTAGACAATTGATAGACAGAACGGACTCAGGGCGTCGCCTACCCGGTGCCAGCTACGCCCAGGAAGGATGCGCAGCTGTTAACTCTACTGTTAGGACATGCGTTCTCGATTCTTCCTTCTCTATTCTCAAGTCGAGATGTCACGAGTCATTACTAGATTAGGGCTGGTGTCAACCCACTTTTTGTCCTTCGAAATATTACCAGTTATTATATCTACTTTTATTTTTCAGTTGTATATTTTTTAGGAACGCGCTGGAAGATGCTCTTGATGACAATGTTCGGAATTTTTCTGACAGAAACCTTGAAAAAAGCTGGTTTAAAGGTCAGGATGAGGCTTTTACGTAATTTGGATCTTTTTGAAGATAAAAATTGTAAAATTGATCCATAGAATTGGCATCAGTTCAAAAATATTCAAAAAATTGAACTAATTGCGAGAAATTTTGAGTTTTTTGAAAAAAGATTTTGCAAAATTAATGATTTTTTTTTATCTTTGTGTATTTTTCTATCCATTAGTCTTTTTTTAATATTAAAATATTAAAAATGATCTCTAAAATGTTAAAAAAGTGGAGTAAAAATCAAAAATTGAATTATTTGCGAGAAATATTGAGTTTTTTTTGGTAAAAAAGTTTCAAAATTGGTAATTTTTTTGGATCCTTCTATAGTATTCAACCCATTAGACTCTTTTGAATTTAAAGATACTGAAAATGATCTATAAAATGTCAAAAAATGGAGTAAAAATAAAAAAATTAACTTTATGCTTGAAATTTTAAGTTTTTTTGATGAAAATATTGCAAAGTTGAAGAAAAATTGATCATTTTTTGGATCTTTTTCTAGTTTTTTTATCCATTAGACTCTTTAGAATACAAAAATATCAAAAATGATCTATAAAATGTCCAGAAATTGAATAAAAGTAAAAAAATTGAACTATTTGCAAGAAATTTTGAGTTTTTTGATAAAGATGTTGCAAAATTGATCATTTTTTTTGGATCTTTTCATAGTTTTCTATCTATTAGATTTTTTTTAAATATTAAAATACTGAAAATGATCTAAAAGATATCAAAAAATTGAATAAAATTTCAAAAATTAAACTATTTGCAACAAATTTGGAGTTTTCTTTGATTAATACGTTCCAAATTGATCATTTTTAAGGGTAATCTGATATTTCTTCATTTTTTAGAAGAAAAGAATGTCAAAAATGATCTATGTAATTTAAATAATATTTAAAAAAAAAAGGAATTTTTGGTAAAAAAAATCGAGTTTTTTTACACCGAAATTTAAAATTTGATAAAAAATATATAATTTATATAATTGTACATATTTCGGACTGTGAATTATATAAGTCATGCAAGAAATAAAATAAATATCAAATATTATTTTTAAAAAAATAGAAACTTACTCCTCTGGATCCTGTATCGGAGTTTAGAATTAAACCAGGTAGAAGAGAAGACACAGATAATGATCTATGAAGATTAAGATAAACAGATCTTAGAAGCCGCTACACCTGCGCGAGGCACGCGACAGGTTAGAATTTTCTTTGACATCTGATTATCTGGGTTATCTAGGTTATTAGAAATGTTATTGTAAATATTGCGTTTTACATACTTGTAGCTTATATAATTGTAGATAAAGACAAGAGATTGAAGATTTGTTGGTTACATTAACTCGGAATAATTGCAGAAGCAGACGGGGATGGAACGACCCCCTGGAGAGATGTAACGACAGGTTCTTCACGGATCATCACCAGCTGACTGATGTTGCGGTTCTTTGGATTTAGGTCTTTGTTGGTAGATCATCACACGGATCGGTGGTCAAGGCATTGCTTTACATCTGGCGCCTTTTTGCGGTTCGACAAATGGGTGAGTCCTATTGTAAACTTTTGCACAATCTGGCTAGATGGTTTTGAATTAAAAAAGTTTTTTTAGGATTTTATAGATCAATTTTTTAATTTTTATCTTTAGTAAGATTTAAAAAAAATTTTTTTTAATATAATACCAATAATAACTAGCAACTATAAATAAATACAATTTTGCTTTATGAAATAATGAATTTTGATAAATTCCACTGTACTTTCTTAACTATTGACTTTTCTAAAGATATAAGCTCATCCCGATGTTACACTCATCAAGAGCTTTCATTTGAGTACCCACATGACATTTTTCACATATTTTTCATATATACATATATATAATATATATAAATATATAATATATATGATAAATTGATGTGGGTACTCAAATGAAAGGTCTTGATGAATGTATCATCGGGATGAGCTTATATCTTTGAAGATGTCAATATTTGACAAGATACAAGGTCATTTATTAATTATGTATCTAGTCACCTAAAAATTTTTTTATTAAATAACTCTAAATCTTTCACAACTACGACCTTAGATTTTTTTTTTCCTAAATCTCCTCAATAGCAAAATTTTAATTTTTTCTTTCTAATTAATAATTAAATTTGTGGTTGCTAAAAATATTCCGATCCTTGAACCCTAGATGGCGCAGTCCCTGAAAGACCTTAAAAAAAAATCATAAGGTTAGAGCTGGGATAAAGTTATAAAAAAAAAAAAAAAAAAAAAAAAAAAAAACACACAAGGGTAAAAAGATAATGAAGAATCGAAGCGTTAAGTCTCGCGGCGGAAGGCGTGCCAGTACCCGCCCCCGGTGGAGGGTCGCGAGGTCGCTCCCACCAACCCCAAGACCACAGCACGCGACGGACACTTGCCATCAACTTCGCGGCCAAGTAGGACAGGTTACTTACTATTCGCTGTTTTAACCTCAAAATTTTAAAGTTCTCCAAATTATCTCTTACTTAAGTATTTTTCTTTTAGTTCTACCGAGTCTGGATGCAGATCTGGATCTCCCACTCCAGACCTACTACCGAACAGACACGCGAGCTTACCTGCCGGCAATCAGCCTCGTGCTCGGACCAGCCAATTCACTGGCAGCCTCTGCCGAACAAGGTACCCCAAGTGCCTCTCGAACATCTCTTTTGACAATCATTTTTTAGTGACCTAGTGATCTGTGAGTTTTTTACTGATTTTGGTATTCGTGACCGGTTATTATCTGGACAATGGATATTTCTTTTTAGTTCTATTTGTGTCTGCTGTTGTTCAGGTGAGTTAGTTAATTATTTTGTCTATTTTTAAATTAATTTAATTATATTAACAAAAAATAAATAATTTCATTGAAAAAATCCTAAAAAACTCACATTTTTATCAAAAATGTCACTTTTAATTTTCAAATTGTTCTTGTGGTCATTAATTAGTTTAATTAATTTCCCAAAAAACCATCAACTTGTTTGATACCCTATTTCAGCACTTCCTTACTAAATCATTAATATAAATAAATAAACGTAATTTTGCGAAACTCGAGTAAGGTCGACACGCTAACGGTTAATTTAAAATGCAAATATAAATCGTAGCGTGAACCCACGGCCGAATTATTCTAATTGGCGAATCTGATAAATAGAATATAATCTAGTAATTCTGATTTTCATTTCTCACTTGACATTTTGTTTGTATTAAATTAAAATACCGATTTTAATGCACCGAGAAGGTGTAGCGTAGCGGCGAGAGTTCTTTGATTAAAAGCGTGCAGATCGTTCTTAAGAAACGCGAAAGAAGGGAAAGAAGAAATGACGTTGGAGGTGCGATTATCAGGAATGTGCTCACAAGTCGCGATGTCGTGCCAGTGGGTTAATATATTCAGATTTTTATTTTATGCCCGGTGGCGTATCGAGATGGCTACCCCTGGTATGACATGTATATGTAGTAACTGAGGTAAGCTTCGGGTCGATTATTGTAATTTTTACGCAATAGGGTTCGGTAAATAAATAATTCCTTACGAACTGTGACCGGTTTTAATTTTTTAAAAATTTTTCAAACTGAAGAAACTAAAAAAAAAATTAAAAGTAAATTATGTTTACTTAATTATTATGTATGTCGGCCATTGTTATTATATATAATTTTATTCGTTGAAATGTCTACTTTAAGATACAACCATCGATTATTATCAAAAAAAATTTTTTCCCCTTCCAAAAAAAATCCCAAAAAACGAATGTTAAAAGTAAACTTATAGCTTGTTTTATTCGTTAAAGTGTCAATTCTAAAACCAATTTTTTTGTATTAAATTGAAATATTAAATAATAAAAAAAGAATTGTCTGAGCATGCACCGAATGTACGATAATTACATTCGGTGCATTATACATGTAATTATCGTACATTCGGTGCATTATTATTAATAATTGTGATTATAAATAATCGGTTTTATAAATTTTTTATAACTTAGTAGTGACAAAGAATGCAGGGAACTCTTTTTTATAATCATTGTTTCCATAAAATAAACAAAAATTCATTATTTCGACGTAGATTTCTGTAGGCTGTATAAAGTTGCGATTTTTCTTTTGAATTAATTTATTTTTTGTAAAAATTTCATAAATAAATTAGTTCCCTGCTTTTATTATTCTATTTTTTATAGGTGGTTTAAATTTTATTAAAATCTGTCCAAAATTTAGCTCAAAACAATGCACCAAAAATTATCTCATAAAAATGTTATCAAATCTTCTTTCATGGCCCCTTAAGACTAAAATAAAAAATTTGGCTTTAATAAAAATAGCAAAAATATTTTTTACACAGTAAAATAGTGAGGGTATAAAATAAAAAATGTAAAAGGCGGGTAGAACGATATGTCCTGGTCTCACAATGAAATATCCCAGTAATGAGGATTGAGCGATTATTATAAATCAAACGGTTGACCGTGTGCCAGCCGTTCAGGCGTTCAGAAGCATTTCTCGCGTTCCCGATGTTTTGCCGATGTTACTCTTAAGAACACGTGTCTCTACCGCAATATCCAGATCCAATCCACTCCCTTTATGTACGCGGAACGCGAATTACACACCCGTATCACACTGCACACTACATTTATTATTTAACGTGTGTGCACATCCACGGCTTAAGCTAAGGACTGATAATTAAATTGAAATCCACCTGTTTGTATGTTACATTTTACACAAGATAAAACACTCGCCCGACGGAAAATAGTTCAATTAACTACCACGTTTAATCTTTAATTCGCTTTTCCGTAAAATATTTCGCTTTTTCTTCATACGTTCAATTATTTCCTCTGGATTTTTTTTTAAAATTCATGGATAATTAGAAAACATCTTTTCTCACTTGAAATTATTAGATAATTTATTAATTATCTTTAATTAAATAATTTACTTTTTATCAAGATAATTTTCTAATTAGAAGATTAATTTTTTACGGTAAAAAATTTATTATACATCATTTTGTTTAATAAGATAAAATTATAAAAATAAAAAATTTTTTTGATGATAATCAATGGTTGTACCTTAAAGTAGGCACTTTAAGTAATTTTTTCAATTTTTTAATTAATTAGAATTTAATAAAAATTTATATTAAAATTTAAAAATAATTTAAGGTGTCAATAATTAGGGCTTTTTTGAAATAGATCTTAAAATAAAAACCATCGCGTTTTTTTTTTTTTTTTTGCATAAAAACCAGCGGAATAAATTAGTGATATATATATATATATATAAAAGCATAACCAAGGATTGTGCCGAGATTACATATTAGTTGGGTATAAAAAGGGTAACAGAGCTTGGTACAAAGTACAAGCAAAACGTAAGCTGAGCTTAAAGGGTGGCTCCGTACCGGTAATCGTGCATTAATTTGCATCGCTAAGTACACGCTATCCACCCGCTTCTGATACGCGTACACATTCTATTTAACGGTGGAATTAAAACAAAAAAAAAATATATATATTTTTGAGTCGGAAAATAAATCTCAGGCTGATTCCGAATAAACTTTGGATTAATCATCTTAATTACACCTTACATTATAAAAAAAAAAAAATAAGTGGACTGTGATTAATTGAAATATTCAAATTTTTTTTTTTTTGAATACTTTTTTGATTATTATTGTTTTTTATAGTGTTGGTAGGAATAAAAGTCACGGTGTCCGCGGTAATACTAAAGCTTATCAGTTGTGCATATTTAAGGGTGGCATGTCAAGCTTGCCCTTTGAATACATTTAAATTAATTACAGACCGAGGAATGGACACACTTACTACTAAATTATTCATGTATTTATTATTTACCGTACAGTAAAAAAATATTTGTTGAATAATTATCATTCTTTTTTCTTTTTGTTCCAGGAAGCTTCCAGGAGGACAATATGCCCCATACCGGTGAGTATTAGTTTGTAATTATCGTAGAACTATTGAATTTTTACCGGAATGGTTGATTCTTTGGAAGTTGGTTTTGTTTTTTGGGGAAAAAAATTTTTTTGGTTAAAATCTATGGATGTATCTTAAAGTAGACATTTTAACGAATAAAATGAGCTATAATAAAAGTGTTTTTGATCACGGGAACCCTAAAAAGATCAGTATGAAAGATTTAAAAATGTTATTTTTGCTAAAACCTGCGATTTTTCAAAATTAACTTTAGTTTTTTGGGTTTTTTTTTTTTCAGGAAAAAAATTTTTTTGATAAAAATCAATAATTGTACCGTAAAGTAGACACGTCAATGAGTAAAATAAGCTATAATGACTTTATTTTTGATTACGGGAACGATTAAAAAAAAAAATATTAAAAATTAAATCACATTACTTTCATAAAAATCGTGAGTTTTTTCTGAAAAAAACTGTTTTGTTATAAACGAACCTATTTATTTCTATTGAATGAATATTTATTGCTTTCTTAAAATTTACAATTAAGTGCAATGGAGTTCGTTGAAATAATACAAGTTAAATAAATGTATTATTAGTATTTAAGTTTAAATTTAAATTTGATTCTCTTATTTTGCAAAATAAGCCTATGAAGTTGTAAGCTGTCTTTAGTTCTCTGGGTTTATGTAGTTAAAGGATGGTTTCCAGGTTTGTGTTATTCAGCAAACTTGCAATGGCGTTGATGAAACTAGATCTGATTTGATTATATAAAGGGCAGGATAGCAGAAAGTGGGAGAGGGTGTCGTTTTCACCAGAATGACAGGAGGGGCATGGGCACAGTGGACTGAATTTTGTTGACTTTTCGTTGATGTAGATGTTAAAACCAAAGATACTCGCGGTACGAAGTTGAGCGAATACTTTTTTGACATTAAGTGGAACTTTGCTGGTTAGATACAACTTGATTTATGTTATTGATTATTAAGTTTTCTTTGTATTTGCGTAGTAAGATTTTACCAATGCGTTCCCAATCCTTTGCATCTGTAGAGTCAATAATCCATAAATAACTTCTATTAATATTCTCTATAAAGTTGTAGATTAATGAAAACCAATTATACTCAGGAGAGGTATAGCCATTTTTGTGAAGAGCTATCTGTTTTTTGAGACAAATAAGAGGAAATCTATCCTCATCCATGCTAAAAATTTTGGTTAGCCAGTCCCACGTATTGCACCAGATGTTATATGAAAGATCTACTCGGTTGACTTCGAATTTAGTGAGTACATTTGACGTGCAGCGTTTAAGATATAATACCGATTTATAGAAGTCTGTGATCACGGTGTCTATGTCGCTCAAATACCTGAGCGCCCAAATGGGGGGGGGGGGCAGCATAAACCTATTTATTTAAATAATTACATATCTTGAAGTAGAGCAGAATGACACACAAGAAATGTATATCTGAGGAATTTAAAAAAAAAATTATTCCAAATTCATCCGCCCAAAAAAAGAAGAATTTATTTTACATTAACATGAAAGATTAAAAATAAATATAACAAATTACAAACGCATTATCTTTAGATTATCTTTTGATAAAGATCTCAATAAAGGGCTCCTGTTTTTGCAGTAATGATTCAGCAGCATGTGTTGTTGATAAAACTGAAAACGCGAGCCCGATTTATGATATAAAAATCCGTCAATCAAAGATTGAAATTTATAAAATAAATTATTCGGATGCTCCTGATCTGTAATTGAGTTAATTACGTAATTAGGAAGCTTGTAATTACTGATCGTCCTAATATATAGATATATATTTGGAAGTAAATGGTACGTGAAGGCGCGTGCAAGGATTTATATCCTTGGCCGTCGCCGCCTCTTCATTCCGTAACGGTTTTATGTGTTTTTAAACGTTTTGCCTGTCATCGTGCCGATTCTTTCTTACAATTGAGCTGTATTTCTCCTCAGACTCATTTTTGTTTTTGATTCTCCGTAACTTAAGAGCTAAAGAATTTTTAAAAATAAAATATCAAGCACTTTATTCTTTAGATGTGAAAGTAAGGGGATTTAATAAAGATAAATATAATAACTGAGCAAACTTTATATTAATGATTCGACGGTAATTAACTCGTAAAATCTCAGCACGTCGGTTAATTATTATTTATTGCAATCTGCATAAAATCACGTCGATGGACCTCATATTTCTCACGCTCAAGTCCTGATTAAAATATCATTTTCAATTGCAACTTGCAATTTAGGTCTCGGTAAAAACGTTTCCGGATACTTGCAAAAAGGTTAATTAACTTTTTATCAGTTGATAGAAAAATAGACAACATTTTATTGGGGATTTTTATGTCCAGGGATCTTTTAAATGGATTTATATTATTATGGTCGGTGAATCAAATGATTGAGGGTTATTATTTTTTTAATGATGTGTAAATTTTTTTTGCCAATCAAATGATAGTGATAGCCAAAATAATAATAGGGAGCTGGTTAAGGATGTTAAGCAGCTGGATATTTGCTAGGTTTACAATAGTAATTAGTTTGATTGAAAATAGGCTAATGTCCAGCTGCTGTTGTGAAGTTTTAGTACTTTTTAATTTTCAATATTTCTTTTCAAAGAGTTCCCGTGGTTAAAAATACTTTTATTATATAGCTCATTTTATTCGTTGAAATGTCTATTTTAAGGTACAACCATTGGTTTTTTGTTAAAAAAATTTATTTCCTAAAAAAAAAATCCCAAAAAAAGCAATTCCAATCTCGGAATTCTATCACCGCAAAATTGATTTGCAAAACTAACAACAAATTTTCTCATTAAAAAAAACCCGATCCACTTCCGATAGCGATCATCATACTAACATCTAATAGACCTTCTTGGGGCAGGTGGAACCCCTCAAAGATGTCGTGATCTAACTGACAGTGAAAGGTTGATAGCCGATGAGCATCAACAAGAGCCAATTCGTCTAGGTAAGGGTTTCCGAAAGCTCCTTTTATTTTCTCGGCATAATTGCACTTGGCAAGAGTCGGGGACACGCGAGGTGGAGCTGGAGCTGGAGCTGGAACTAGAACCAATGTCATTAGACCGAAACCGCTGTGAAAACACCTGCCCTCCCCTAATGTCATTTCCAACGGGACTGCCAAATTTTTTTAGCTATTAAATTTCCAGCCTCCATTATTATCTTATTATTATTATTATTATTATTATTATTATCAAGATGTACTTATACTTTACTGACTTACCCGGTGATTTTTCAGGTCAAGCAGGAGTCAACCAGCTGGGAGGTGTCTTTGTAAACGGACGTCCGCTTCCAGACTGCGTTCGACAAAGGATTGTCCAATTGGCACTGGTTGGCGTCCGTCCTTGTGATATCTCCAGACAATTGCTCGTTTCCCATGGCTGCGTTTCCAAGATATTAACCAGGTTCTACGAAACGGGGAGCATCAGGCCTGGCAGCATAGGTGGCAGCAAAACTAAGGTATATAATACACTCTTTATACTATAATACTATAATGTGAATTTATATTTATGATGATGAGAATGAGAGTGAGTATGATCGGCAAATAAAAGGGATGAATGGAAGGTTTGCTGATTTGATTTTAAGTGAAGCCTTGGTGTTAACCACACACGTAATTATCCAGCACACCTTGCTTCGGGCATTAACATAATCACTTTGTGTGCATCTTTAAGATATCTTAGTACGATCGGTTACTCTTTTTGTTTAGTTTTCAAAAAGCTGCGATTAGTTAAAATTTATAAAAAATAGGAAAAAAAATTTTTATTTTTTTTAAAAAGATAGACAGGACAAAAATACTTTTATTATATAGCTTATTTTATTCGTTACAGTATCTAATTTAATGTACATTTATTTATTTTAACCAAAAAAATTTATTTCACCAAAAAACAAAAGTTACTTCCAAAGAACTGCATATTTGCAGTAAAAAAAAAAACTATCACAGTAGTGGAAAAAAAAAAAATGATAATTCTCGATTCAAGTTGTCATAAGCTTAACTACCGAGAGACTTACAAGACAGTGACCCGAAGAAATAGATGATGAGAACCGTACGCAGTAAATTAGTCTCTCCTGAAAACTGTAGAATATATCTCCATCCTCATCTCGCCGGTCGGTTATAACACAACCACATAACTATAATGCTGATTACACACGACACCGAATGCCTCAGTATTGCATCTATGACACTAATGATATTATAATTATACCCCGGGTTTTTAAATTTCGCCTGCTAAAGCATTTCTGAGATCAAAATGGCCGCTGGTAGCTGAGTGAATATTAGAAGGTAATATTAGCATTAATATTGGGTATTAGGTAATATATTTTGCTAGTGATAAATTCGTAGGATGGAAGAGAAGATCTAAGATCCTAGATAGAAAATCTGTTGATACATTGTACCACAGTGTATATTCTACAGCAGATCCCACGTTAGGTTGTTAGTTGTTAACTTAAATTAATTACCTCAGACACGTGATGGGCTTACATACATGGATAGTGTTATATGTGGTAGCGGCGGGATGGAAGGATAGGCGCATGATATTCTTACTCAAATATTAGCTGATGCCTTGATAGGATCCGTAGAACCTGCAATTTGGTAATTTATTTGACGGTTAATTGACTATCTAATTTATGCCCGAATAAAATTGTTACATGCTTCATTTTTATCTGATTGATTATCGTTCCTTTTCTTTTTTTTTTTTTTTTAAATTGTATATAAAATTTTTTTTGCGCATGTAGTTGATGTGAATAATAGATGCGCGAGAATAAATTATTCATAATTGTTGGTAATATTCAACGATATAGGCCTATAAGAGCTAAATCAATACTTTTTATGCTTCGCGATGCTCTTGACGATTTGTAATATATATACATACAACACACCGGTAATCAGGTAATTACGATCTTCAAGTATTAAACCGACATCCGTTAAAACACGGGCAAACAAATACTGTCTATTAAGTCATTCTTTTTTTTTTTTTTTTATAGATCGCTACTTTGTATGCGGGTAAAATGATTTTTTGTAGGAAAAAAATCGATTAGTTTGTTCATTGAGGTGTTTACTTTGAGGTACCACCATTAATTTTAACCAAAAAAATTTATTTCATCAAAAAAATCACAAAAAACAAAAGTAATTTCCAAAAAATCGCATATTTCCGCAGAAATGATATTAGTTTTAAATCTTCAACGGTGATCTATTTAAGGTTCCCATGATCAGAAATTATAACTCTTATTATAGATCATTTTATTCATTAAAATGTCTACTTTAAGATACAATAATTAATTTTAACCAAAAAAATTTATTTCATAAAAAAAAATCCTAAAAAACGAAAGTTGTATCTAAAAAAAATCCAAAAAACAGCATGTTTGATTAAAAAAAACTTTTATTTTCAAAAGACAGCAATATTTGTCCCGGTAAAAACATAATTTTCGCTTCGACCGTTAAAAAAAAACAAAGATAAAGAGTAAACAATTTAAACAATGACAGTATTTATGCGACACGAATGTCATCCATCGAAAACAGGGTCTGAGGGTTAGCCATTGCGTGTGAGATGATCTCTGATTACAATCGACACTTCCGTAGTGACAATTACCCTTCGACCCAAACGGTCACCATTATATAGCTCACCACACTTAATACATATCTACGTATCTACTATATGGAGTATATCTTGAGGCTCCTAATGTCGGACACATCCTATGCCGAGCACCGTCGATCAAAAGGGACCGGACGGACGATAGGGCTACTTACAACTGAGTATGAGGGGAAGTGTAACATCAGGAAGCAACATCTGGTGTCAAACGTTATATTAGATAACCCGTACATTTAACCATTAACCATCGCCACCTTTCAGGCAGGTTCACCAACTCGCTAATTATCTCTCCAACGACACTCACTGATCGTCTTTCCATCACGAACAAACACATTGATGGAAAATTATTTAGTTTAATTCAACGAAACACGTTTTTTTACCAAAAGTATTTTTTGTTTTTTTGGGATTTTTTTTATGAAATAAATTTTTTGATTTATTGAAATCAATGCTTGTACCTTAAAGTAGACACTTTAACAAAAATAAAATGACCTATAACAAATCCATTTTTAATCATTAATACCTGAAGAAAACTAGCAAGTTTTTCAGGGGATTGATGTAAATAAAAAATCATAAGTCAGTCCCCCACGACGTTAAATCGCGTGTCCTTAGCGGGTGGCAATCTCAGCTCCCTTAAAGAAGATCGTTGATCTCAAAATCTGTCGGCTCGTATAACATTTCCATCGCGTTAGCATAAAATTATCCAGTGGGCATTCACCTCATTAGCAATTCAAATTCACCCTATTATACGCGTACACAACCACCGACAAACTACTATTAGCTCACACTTCTCACTGAGAACCACTGAACCGCTGTAATAAAATAAAAATTTGTGTAAGAGTGTCTGTGAGTCTGAGGAGAACCGATTTGCGGTTTAATGGGGTGACGAAGTTGAGAAACACACTAGGGAGGGCCATATTCTTATCTTGATCTCCGAGCAAGTTCACCTGTGAGCCATGTGTCGGCATTTTCGTCCAAATTGTTAATCCGAGTGTTAATTTCCAAATAATTAATTATAATAATAAGTTTTTAATTTTATTGGCGGTGAAAATTCAATTTTTATTTTTTATATTCTGGCTTAATGGTCAAAGATATGGTAAAATTAATAAGGACCTTTTTTATAGAGAATTTAATTATCTATCAAAAAGGTCTCATAAATTTTTTTTTAAGTTTTTAATATTTCACCCAAAAAAATTTATTTCATAAAAAAAAATCTTAAAAAACAAGAGTTATTTCCAAAAAATTGCAAATTTCCGTAGAAATGATAGTTTAAAATGTTTAACAGTGATTTTTTTGGGTTTGCCATGATCAAAAATACTTTTATTATAGATTATCATTTTATTCGTTAAAGTGTCTACTTTAAGGTACAACAGTGATGGGTTTTACTGAAAAAAATTTAATTCCCAAAAAAAAAAATCCCACAAAACAAAAGTAACTTTCGAAAAACATAATTTAAATAATTTAATTTTTACGGCTAGTTTTTTATTTATTATAAATAATAATTTTTTTTTTTTTTTTCAGCAAGTTGCAACTCCGACAGTCGTAAAGAAGATCCTGAGGATGAAACAAGAGCAGCCAACCATGTTCGCCTGGGAAATTCGTGAGCAATTGGCAAGACAAGGAGCTTGCGATCCCCAAAGTTTGCCCTCGGTTTCTTCCGTCAATAGGATTCTTAGAGGCGGAGGATTGCACACGGATCATCCGATTGACGCTGGAGCCTCCGGAAGTTATCCAGGACATGTGTCAGGAAATGAATCCAGAGGTATGTCTAGTTCTTACGAGGATTTTTGGTTAAAATTAATTTTTCTTTGACTTTTGATTAGATTAAATGAACGTAAGCCCGTCGGTTGGTTAACTAAGCTGACTGTAGCTCAACTAAATTTATTTTTGAGTAAATAATCTAGTTTGGTGTCTCTATGCCAACAGAATCCCTCATGAGAACGGATTATCAGCTGTTCTATCCCGGCTCACTGGGACCGCTCCACATATCCACCAACGGATCAACTGGAGCCTCCGGAGCACCCACCTGGAATCCTGGATTCTACTCCTCGCTTTATCAAGCGACGACATTGCACTTGCATCATGGAATGCAGTCCTTTACGTAAGTCATGGTTTATTTATAGTTAGTGCAATTCAAAATTGATTTTTTATACGTCCGGTGGTTCAAAATAAACTTAATATAGCTCATTACACTCCTTAGAGTCTCTACTTTATAAGATCCACTCATCAATTTTACCAAAAAAAATTTATTTCCCCAAAAAACAAAAGTTCTAACAAATATTCTCTTAAAAATTGCAGATCTTTAGAAACCGAGCGGCTTTCCGAGCAGCAGAACTCCCAGAACCAAGAACTAAAATCCAGCAGTTCAAGTTCCATGGCGGGAAGTGACGATTCTCTGGACAAAAGTGACCTGGACGAAGCTAATGAGTCCCAGGACTTCAAACCCTTCCAGAACTCGCCCACAATCTTAGAACTCGGGCAGAAAATCGGCAGCGACCGGAGTGCGTTTGTTCGACACGGAACTCCCGGTTCCGTTTCTAAAGAAAGTTCCGAGAACCCGCAACCAGCGCCACCACAGAGAAAGCGGAACCCTTATTCAATAGAGGAACTACTGAAGAAGGACGAAAATGTCGTCAGTAATAAGCGACGCGTTATTGACACTGGAGTTGTCCAACCTTGCGGAATTGTCGTTGACGAAGTTTAATTATATTTAATAATTAATTATATTTATCTAGAGGTTGTAAATTATTATAATTATTATTAGGTATTAGCGGTTATTTAAATTATTGATTTTAAATCACTTAGCATTGATGATATTAATTAATAATAATAATAATAATAACAGTAGTAATAATTTGTAAATATGAAACACTCATCAGCTGATTGTAATTTTAATTGTAAAATTTTTTAGCGTAGTAATTATTATTATAAATGTTTATTGCAACTTTGTCGTTAAAGTAAAAATAAGTGGACAGTATTATAATTATCCGTACAAGTTATGTTAGTGTAGTTAAATAGTCTGGAAATTTAAAAGTTAAGTTGAGGTATAAAAATCTTTTATTACTGACAAGTAATAATTTTATTGCAATTATTTAACTTATTAAGAGATTGCCTGTCGTAAAACGATAAACTTTTTATGATTTATTTCGAGCGCGGAAAATATTTTTATTGGACCGAATAAAAGTGAGGTTATTTTTTTTTCGGGTACAAATTTTAATTTTTTATTTATTCGATCAATTATTTTGAGTAAATTGCAATTATTTGTGATGCACAATTGAGATTTATTAAATTAACAGTTTAAATTTATTAGATTTCACGGTGTCATACAATTGTGTAGACTTTATTGCAGTTATTGAGGTTTATGAGGCTGTAACGCTGTTACAATGTTGCAAAACTCGTTTTTGATTAAATAAAATTTTTTAGAGGTTGCATCTAGTCATTATATATCATTTTTATTATTTATTATAATTTTATAGCGTGATTTTTTATTGTTTCACAATTTTAAGGTAAATTTGAGGTTATATTGAAACAAAGTGTTAAATGTAATACAGGACAAAAAATCGTGACATGAAACAAAGTAAAATTTAAATTGTTACATTAAATTAGCTTCAAATTTATTATTGACAATTTTTCAAGCCATTAAAATTTTTCAGAAAAAAATTTTGAGGTTAATTTGAAACAAAGTGTAAAATATAATACAAGACAAATAATTATGACTCAGAACAAAGTAAAACTTGAATTGTTACATTAAATTAACTTCAAATTTTTAATATTGTCAATTTTTTTTAAACAAAAAAAAATTTTTTGAGGTTAATTTGAAACAAAGTGTACATTATAATACAAAAAAATTATTAATTTATAAAAATATATAATTAATACAAGATACAAGATGCGAGCTCTAAAAAATTAGAATTAGTATAGAGAATAAAAAATAATATTAACAATAAATAATTAATAATTAGCAAAAAAAAATATGTAATTAAACAATGTATGATTAAAAAAACTAGTCAAAGTGATAATAATAAAATAAGTGTATAATTAATTAATAATTAATAATATTAATAATAACTGACATTGCAAGCACTGTAATAAATCTGTCAGCATTTAAAATAAATGTCATTAAATAAGCTAATAATATTTATTAACGTCCTCACACATCCCACGTATGAATTATAATAAATGTCTGGAGTTAAAAAATATAAAAAACAATCACACGGATAAATTTATCCACCACCAATGCATCCAAGTCTTAGAAAAAAACTTAAAATTAAAGGTAACGTCAATTATTTATACGTCAGTCACTTAACTATTAATTCTATAATTATAATTATTTTTTTTTAGAGCTGAAAATTCCTCTGGGAGTGACTGAGAGTGTTTGTCGAGAGAGTATGGACCGGATGAGGCCCGCTGGGCGAGTACAGGCTGTGGTGAGAATGAGACTTTGCTCGTGATAGTTCGCTGTACCGATCTTGGTCAGGTGGCGCCACCAGGAGGACCGGTCGCAAAGATAGGGATTTTCTTGACCCTGCTACGCTCTGGGCTTCGTTTACGTATCCTGGATTTACTTCACCTGGTGAGTGATATATAATAACAATATTAAAAATTAATTATAAAGTTTGTTAGTTTGTTATTTTGAACTTTAAATTCAAATTTTGAAGAAATAAAATAAGATAGAGCAAAATTGATCAGGGCCTTTTATATATAACATCGTCTTTCCACAAACAAACACATTGATGGAAAATTATTTAGTCGAATTCAACGGTATATGATTTTTTCCAAGTATTTTTTGGGATTTTTTTTTTATGAAATAAATTTTTTTTGTTAAAATCAAATTTTCTCTTATAACTCTTTTATATCTTCAAAATTTGACCCAGAATTTTGGATTAAAAATTAATTAATTACCTTTGTAGAGAGACCCGTTGTTAAAAGGCTCGGCTTCAAGCCTTACATGTCTTGACGCGAGGATAAAAGCAAGCGTAGCGAGGGTCACTGCATCCAGGGCAGCGATAGCTGCCAGAGGAATCGCCCATCTTATCGCGCAAGCACCGGGAACATACCTTTAATAATAAAATTAATTGTTTTCATTAGAAAAAAAATGTTAATAATAATGATTAAGGTTTTCTTTAATTTAAAGATGATTACCTGGACGCAGAAGCTCCGCAGACGGCTCGAACCATCGGCGAATCCCACCCAAGAGGATACACGCCCACGCCGACAGCCATGCAGATTGCTGAAACGAAAGAAAAATTATATTACACAGTGTAATGATGTAAAGCAAAGCGATATAGGAAGTGAGTTTCATTGTAATTATTCCTATTAAATTCACACGGTTGAATAAAAAATGAAACTGGCATTTAGCTTCTTGAGAACCGTCTAAGTGAAAGGTGAGTATATGCGATATTATGCTATGTATTATCTACTTGCTAATGTTAACTGTCTTTACATTTATGTATTAACAATTGCGGTAATTTTTAATATTTTTTTAAATATTAATACGTAATATTAATATTAATATATGTGACTGGACATATTGTTTCTTAACTTTGTAATATGTTTTTTTTTTTTTTTTTTTTCCAGTTCATAAAAATATATTAATAATAATTTTTTTTTAATTAATTTTTTAATATTTAATCAAAAAAATTTAAAAGTTCATAAAAATATTATTAATTTTAATGATAATTAGAGCTAGAATTTTTGCAGTTGTTTAAATGAGCATTCATATGCTTAACCTCAAATTTGAATAAAGAAAAAACGCAAACTTCCTGGCTTTAATGATAACTTTTAAAAAATTAATATTATAATTAATTTTTTTAATTAATTCACTCTTAAATTATTTAAAATTTCAAAAATTTTATTAAGAAATGAAACAGTTTATTTTTAAAATGTAAGTAAAATCTTTAAGTGATAAAAAATTGCCAAATTTCAGTCGCCATTTTGTCGGGGTTGATTTTGAAGATAATTTTTATTTAAATTGATGTTATAATTGATTTTTTTTTTTTATTAATTCACTTGTAAATTGTATAAAATATTGAAAATTTTATTAAAATATTTAATAGTTTATTTTTAAAATGTAAATAAAATTTTCAAATGATGAAAAATTGGCAAATATGTCGACCGCCATTTTTTTAAGGCTGATATTCAATTAGAAATTTTTTTTTTAATCAAAAAATTGATTTATAAGATAAATATAATTTAATTTTACTAATAAAATTAATTATTCTAGGAAATTAAAAAAAAAAATTACCTGATATAACCTGCATCCACCCACAAATATAAAAAACAGTAGTACTTTGACAAAAAAAGAATAATAACATTGCACAAATAGACACTAGTGCAATAACAACAGCTATTCCTACAAGAATAGTGCTGGCTTTAAATGGCACGTTTCCGACAGTGGATAGATCATCTAACCGTCCAATGCATTCTTCTCCGACTTCACCTGGTGAGTTTACAATTAATTATTCATTTTTCAATTAGAATTCATTTTAATTATACTAATTTAATTTTTAACTTATGTTAATGGTATCACTTTGACTTACCGCTGGATCCGTAGCTGCAGCGAGACCAAAGTCCAAATCTACCCGGATTCTCGTGCTCCAGATCCCCGATCCACTCAGGTGTGACAAAAGCAACCACTCCAATAATTGCATAACAAATAGTGAATATTCCCCACAATACTGCAATTGCTTTTGAATTGCGGACGTAGTTTGAGGCGTACATGTGGGAAGATTCAACATATTCTATTTTTGAACCCATTTTTATGATTTTTGCTGGTAAAAAATAATTTAGTTTATTAATTAAAAAATTACCTTGTATCTTGTTAAATATTGACATTTTTAAAGATATAAGCTCATCCTGATGTTACACTCATCGAGACCTTTCATTTGAGTACCCACATGGCATTTTTCATATATTTTATATATTTATATATATTATATATATATGTATATATGAAAAATATATCAAAAATGCATGTGGGTACTCAAATGAAAGCTCTTGATGAGTGTATGAAATATATATCAAAAATGCATGTGGGTACTCAAATGAAAGCTCTTGACGAGTGTAACATCAGGATGAGCTTATATCTTTAAAAATGTCAATATTTAAGAAAGTACAGTTAAGTGCAATTTAACAAGTCATTATTTAATAAAATTTTATTTATTCATAGTTCACAAGTCACTGCAGTCACGTAGTGACTGCAAGGTTGTTAGTTTTTATATAAAATTATAAATAAATTTGAAAATTTTTATCGACAATTTAAAATTAAAGTAAAATAATTTATTGATTAAAAATATTAAATAAAAAAAAATAATAATTATTAAAATACTGTTATTGCTTAGATTAGCATTGAAATCACTGACATAAATAAAATAAATGAAATTTTAAAATAAATATGACTTATAATAATAATAATAATAATAATCATAAATAAATAATAATGATAATAATTTTCTAAAAAAATAAATAATAAAAAATAAAAGTACCTTATCAGAATAAATGAGTAATAATTAAAAAAAAAAAATCCTCATTTAACCAGTGTACCTTATAAAATCCATTTACATGATAACAATCAAGTACACATTTAAAACTACCAATAATTAGAGTTTGGTTGAATGTAACATTAGTTTAATTATCTAATTTTTTTGACAGATGTTATTATGAGGTGGTTAGTAGTCTATACTCGGTACACGTTGCAAGATACAAGATACAACTCACAACTCACAACTCACAACTCACAACTCACAACCGGACGACTAAGACCTGAGGCAAGACTCGGGATTGAGGATCGAGGATCGAGAATCAAAATGGCCTCTCAGGCAACCTGGTACAAGTACAAGTATAATATACTTAAGTGGCTTATTACATAGGTGTAAGCTGTAAGTGTAAGGGGTAGAGAGGAAAGAGAGAGCCGGAGAATAGAATGGGCCTCGTGGGACCGATACTTCTCTCTCCAGTCTCCAGTCTTCGGTCTATCTCACTGAGTTACTTGTACAGAATTAAATGTAAATGAGGACAGGGAGGGGTTTCACTCTCCTTTGACATTTCTTGATACTTTTTTTGCTTACTCAATTTTTACAAGTACTGTCATTTAGATATTACATTTATGCTGAGGTAGATTTTTATTGTTATGGTTAATTATTATTATTTTAGTTCATTAAAATTATTTCGAAATTTTTTATATAAAAGAAATTTAAATATTTTTATTAATTTTATTTATTTATTGCACTAAAAATTAGTAATTAATTGAGCAGATATTTAATTTTTTTTTAACAAATAAATTATGCTAAAAAGAATGAGGAAAAAAAATTTGTTTATTAAATAAAAAAATTAAATGACTATTATTAATTTTTATTTTACAAATAAATTAATTCTAGATAATTAAAAGAAATATTTTTTTTTAAGTTACACATTTTTTTATAAATAAAAATTATTTGTTTTATTTTTATAAAAATTAATTTAGCATTATTAAATTTTAATAAAAAAAGTATGGCAAAAAAAAATGAAAAAAATAAAAATTGACTAACTTAAAAATGCAATTTTTTAAAAATAATTTTTTTGTTAAAGAAAATTAAAAAATTTTTAAATGACAGCTAAATTAATTTAGCATGATACTAAATTTACCTGTCACTAGATAATTTGTTAATTTTTTTTTTTTTTAACAAATAAATTTGTTGTAATAATTTAAAAAATCTTAAAACAAATAAATTATTGCAAAAAAAAAAATTTAAATGTAGAAATTTAAAAAAATAAAAAATACAATTTTTTAAAAATAATTTTTTTGATTAAATGTTTTTGTTAAATAAAATTGTGGTTAATTTTAATGTCATAATTAATTTTAATTACATTTTTTTCTAATAATTATATTAATAATTTATTTTTTTCTATAAAAAATTTCTCTTATAATAATAATCCACAAACCTGAACGTCATTTAAATTTTTCCGCTAAAACTCGAAAAACTCGATTTCATTTTTATAGAAACTTGATAAATTATTCTCGGCACATTAATTAATAACACTAACACTTTTAAAAGATAACAATAATAATAATAATTATAAAAATTGCAAGAAAAATAGTCAGTGATCTCTTCTAGATTTATTATTGGTACTAAAGTTCCTGTGCGACAGCTGGTAGTGCCGCCATATTGGATTCCATTAAAACGCGCAAGATGGCGGCACACGCTCTAGAGTCGAATGTACCGCTCCTTTATTTTAACAAGTTTTAATTAGTAATTAGCTTGAATTAAACTTAAATTTTATGTAAAAAGTTAGTATTTATTATTTAGAAGCTTTTGAGATAATTATTTTTATTAGCAATCACTTTTTTATATCGGATGTCAATTAAAATAGTACCAGCGTTTAACAATGTCATTTTTCCGTTGAAACTTTCATCAATTTATAATTTATAATTATTATTATTTATTTTTTATTGTTAAAAATTAAATATTAATAATAATAATAAATAATTATAATTATTCTTTATAAATTTTATCAAATTTATAAATAATTACAATTATTTTATATAAAATAATGAATTAAAAAAAAAATTATTTTAGAATAGTTCAAATTTACGCCACTAGAGCGCGCCAGAGTAATAATTTAAAAAATAGCGGGAGAATAATAAAATTTAAATTAATTTAAGTGTCAATTTTGTTGCAAAAATAATTTTTTTAAATGTTTAATAAATTTTAATTATTTTTTTTTATTAAAAAAAAATTTTAATTAAAGTTTATTTAAATTATAAATTTTATAAATGACAATTTAAAAAAAAAAGTGAAAAAAATTATTTTTTTAAGTGTTTAATAAATTCTATTTATTATTTTTTTTTTATTAAAAAAAATTATAATTAAAGTTTATTTAAATTATAAATTTTGTGAGACAATTTTAAAAAAGAGTGAAAAAAATATTTTTTTTAAGTGCCACGTAGTGAAGTTTTTTTTTTAAAAGTGAATCATTAAGTATAATTAAAAAAAAAAAGTGTATTTTATCAGTTAAAGTTTTTTTTTTAAGTGTTCAATTTTTGACAGTTTATTTTTAAAAAAGTGAAATTAAAAAAAAAATATATTTGAAGAGTTAAAGTTTTTTTTTAAGTGTTAAATTTTTAAAAGTTTATTTTTAAAAAAGTGAAAATTAAAAAAAAAACTTATGTAAAAAAAATTAATTAATTTTTAATAAAAAAAAAAATTATTAATTAGCGAAAAAAACAAGGTAAGGAATGAATATGTATAAAATACAAGCTCTAACTTAAATATATGATATAACACTAATAAATATTATTTAATTTAATACGGGAGTTAAAAGCAGCATGAGTGTTGAATCCCAGCTCGTCAGTCTCAGTCTGTTATGTAAAACATAAAAATGTCGACGTTGAGTTTTCGCTCGTCAACAATTTATTTATTTTTGCTGTTGAACATTAGAGGAGTAGAGAGGAGAGGGAGAATTATGAGCTGGGATCACGCATGTGATGTTGACTTTAAACCTCTGGAGTCTCACGTGAATAATCTAAAGTATAGAAATTCCTCTGCTTATATCCAGGCATCAGGCATCACACTACATCTCAAGTAATTGCACCTACTGCGTTGGGAAATTAAATATCTTATAATGTTATATGTTATAATGCACCAAGGGTCACACTACCACTTCTCACTACCGGTATGTATATAAATATATTAGACCGGACTTATTGATTGCAGGAAACATTTAGATGTCTAACGTCTCAATATTTTTTATTTTTATTTTAAATAATCATTTTTATATTTTTATTTTCGAAAAATAAATCAAAAAATTTATAAGAGACCTTTTTGATTAGCTAAAAATAGCTGTTTAAATTTTGAAAAACTACCAATAAGATCTATAACTTTATTTTTGAACTTTAAATTCAAATTTTAAAGACAAAACGCAGGATAAACCAAAATTGATAAGGATCTTTTTTATATAGCATCGTCTTTCCCCGAACAAACACATTGAAGGAAAATTATTTAGTTGAATTCAACGGGATATGACTTTTTCGAAGTGTTTTTTGGGATTTTTTTTATGAAATAAATTTTTTTTGTTAAAATCAAATTTTCGATAAAAAAGGTCTCTTAAAAATTCAAAATTTCAATAATAATAATTTTATCTAAGATATTTGGAGCACTAATTTGCCGATGTATGTAAAGATTGAAAATAATAACTAATTACTATAATTTATTAATGAAATCGGTTGATATTTAGCGATACCGTTATAGGCGTGAGGTCACTCGGAATAAATAAGTTCGTAAGGGTTAAAACGGCACTATCGTATCCACTATTGGAATTATGGTACGGTATTAGTTGATGCTCTTGTATTTATACAAAAGACACTCGTAGATATATATTTACACTACCTGGGAGTATATATACGTATATATTAAAGTGAGAAAAGAGATGAAGATCAAGGTGAAGACCTCGTGCATGTTTAACAGTCATTAATCAACATGATGCAGCCCCATCACTATAAATTCCGTTAGACTGCACAAATTGTCCTCTAGTTACATATTACACGTTGTCTACTGGAGCCATCACATCTTCACCGTAACTATTAATTTATAATTAAAATTATTATTTTTTTTATCGAAAATTTTCAAAAAAAACCATTATTTTACTCGTTTGATCTCGGATATTTTAAAAGGAAAAAAAATAATCAACGTTGATAGATGTTAGACAGAGGTATTCTATGAACATAGATCAAATATTATGTACATACTCCCACTTGCTGTAATAAAAAGAGGTAAAAGTCCAGGAGAATGCATAGCAGGAGATTAATGTCGTACATTTGAAACATTGTTACAATTTAGACTTCCGCTATTTAAATTTATGACTACTCAATATTGTTTTATTAATAATACCGAGCATAACAATTGTAATTACGTTAAATGTATTTTTATTATTATTATTATTATTATTATTATTATTATTTAAATGTTAAAATAGTATAAATAAAATGACCGTTTAAGGTAAAAGGTTAAAGGAAGCGTGTCATATATGCGTTAATTATGTAGATAGTAAGTATAGTTAGTTAATAATCGATGTAATTGAATTTAAACATTTATTAAAGGAGCGTACACATGCACGCAATGGGTGTAATATTTGTAATGATAATCGTGAGATAAGCCGTACAGAGATTCAAGTGTTAGATAATACTAAATGTGAGAGTATCCATGGGCGATAACGCCGTAATATGCTCCACGGGGTTTGTTAAATTATATTAATAATTGTTAATAATAGTTATTACCGCCTTTTTACGTGGGAATGCTAAAGATTAGGTAACAGTAGCATCTAGATTTTTTTTAAGATTACGTTTAATTTATGGATACTTATTTTTAGAGTTTTGGGATGGACGTTTTTTGGGATCTTTTTGAGGAAAAAAATTTTTTTTTTCGAAAACTACTGGTTGTATATTAAAGTAGACATCCTTAGGAATATACTGATCTATAATAAGTTCATTTTCACCCACGAAAATAATTTAAAAACGAAGGTTTAAGAATCAAAACAGCAATTTCTGTCAAAATACCAATTTTTCCAAAAGTATCTTCAGTTTTTTAGAATTATTTCAATGGAATAAATTTTTTTTGTCAAAATCATTGGTCAGAAATTAAAGTAGACACTCTAACGAGTAAAATGACCTAGACTACGTCAAGTTTCCATAGCGGGAAGAATAAAAAAAAAAATCTCGAAAGTCAGAAGTAATTTAAAAATAATTCTTTCGAAAAGCAAAAATTTCTCTTTAAATCACAAACCTGTGAGTAAAATACAAGAACAGCTTTCTTCCTCGTCTCTTTTCTCGACTATTCAATTCCACGGTCGATCATAAATCATCCTTGGGCATGTATGCATCTACATAGATCTTAAA